GGGGGGGGGTGGGAAGGAGCGTCTCGCCGTTGGCAAAGGGTTCTTTGTACTTTCTCGCCGACGACAGTGTCTCACGCCGCCGCTGATCCGATCCGATCTAGATTGAAGTAGTGACGTAGCCTGCCCTAGCTCTTACACATCATTGATCAAGGGCGCCAAAGGAAACCCTGTGAGAAAGGTCGCGCACGTGTTTTTTAGCGCTCGGCCGATGGGAAGAAGAGTTTGAATGGGTGCCGATGCCGGTGTTACTCAACGCGACGACGACGACGTCGGGGGGTTTTGTCCTTCCAGACCAAGGAGCAGCAATTGTCAATCAATTACAACGTATCTCATGTCACTCAAACTAGTGGAGAGCGCAGCACAAGGGAGCACGGGTGAGGCAGAGTCGGACGGCCGTGCGATGGAACAGTCTCCCGAGGTGTGTTTATCGGAAGCGGCTGTACCGCGATAACGAGGAGCGAGGCTTACGATGTCGTTCAGAAAGTCTCATACTGCTACATATCACGCCTTCCGACTGAGCTTCTGAGAGAGGCATTTCGCAGCGCGCACGATTGCTTCGTAGTAGACGATGACTTCGGATGCACTGATGAGCCGGCAATTGTGTTGAGCTTCCAAGCTGTCTGCCGACTCTGGAAAGCAGTCGCTCGAGGAACACCGGAGCTATGGCCGTGCACAATGAAGCGGCGTAACATTGCGTGGATGCATACCGCGTTCAACCACACAGACCCTTCCCAATTGGACGTTACCCTCGTCCCTCCGACAGAGAAGATTGGGCAGAGCACTCCTTACCCATGGATCGAAGACCCAGAGGACTTCATGATCCACTTGTCCAAGTGGAAGAGTCTCAACTATTACGCAGTGGACGACCTCCCAGACGATCGTCACGATCTTGACCTTCGTCCCATTTTTCGGTCCCCTAACTTCGCGCCACAGAAGATCAAGCTCGAGTTTCCATCCGTTGCGCCGGAAAGTGAATGTCGGGTGCTGGTCGACGGTGAATTGTTTGGAGGCCATCTGCCTTCAACTCTTGAAGCAGTTCACCTCCAGTCGTGCGCCGTGCGCGTCCACTCGCCTTTGTTCCAGGCTTCATCACGTCTGAAGATACTCAGATTCGAATGGTGTCGCTTCATAGGCGAACGCACGCTCTCTGACGTTCTCCTCGCTATTCATGATCTGCCTTGCCTTAACGAGTTCTCACTCCTTGCTACCACCGACGACCTGCTGCCACCTGCAAACATTCACGCTCTGGACCCCGCGCATGTGATCATCCTGCCCGCCCTGCGGAGAATCACGATAGACCTACCGTTTTCATATGCGACTTGGATGTTCCGGGCGCTTGAACTAGACTCTAAATGTGTCATCCACGCATACATGTCCAATCTTGGTACAGACGTGGACGCCACCGCACTGTGCACCACGATCGACGCTGCGTTCGGGAATTGGGCAAACGCCGCATTATCTGGATCCGAGCCAAACTCGCGCGTCGTGGGATTGGCCGTCGGGTTTGAAGGTCTCGTCGGTGGGAACAGGAGCGGCGCATGGCTCAGTCTTTATACCGAAAGCGCCATGCTCGAAAAGCCGCCCGAGGCTCGTCTCGAAATCAACCTCTCAGGCGTTCTAGACGTCTCCGAGGATATTCTTCGGGCACTCTGCAGTCACATCGTTGTGAACTGGACCGCGATACGCAGCGTTACGTCCATCGCCGGTATGAACATGCCGGACGGACTATGGAGAGACATCCTTGTTGTTGCAAGAGACGTGAATTACATAGACGCGACTCATCGCTTAGGAGATCTGCCGGACGTCCTGGTCGCACTCTTGAACTCATCGCCGTCCGATGGTGGACGCCCGCCACTGGCCAGCCTCGCCACCGTCTGTATCGAGAGCTTGACAGAGCTCGCCAGCGGCGCGATATCATTTGCTACGCTCATGGCGGCTCTTGGAAGGGCAGTCACAGGAGCTATGACAGGCCCCGAGGAGCGTGAGTTACGCGTGACAGGAAAGTCCATCATACACGATCATGACCAGACTCCATCATCGTACAAAGTCCCTGTCAACTACAATCCGACGACGTGACGATGTTTCGCACGTCTCCGAGCGGACGAAGTATGGCATGGGTGCGGCGGGATATTGTGTTTATCGACTATTTGTTGTACTATGCAGATGTTATTTGAGAGCATGGATGCAGAGAATCAAACCCGCCGGCTCAACCGCACTCCGGATGTGCGAACTCACAAGGTATACCGGTCTTCTCCTGTTATGTTTGATTCCACACGCAAGCACTCGACGTATCGTGATGCGGACTGTATCCTATTCTTCAACATGTCAAAATTCTTCGCCCGACTCTCACATTGACGAGCTCTCCGATAATGCGCGGTCTGGCAGCTGTCTGTCTATTTGCCAACCTTGTTTTGGTATGAGCCTGTGCACAGAGATGATGCACTGATCGGACGGATTGCAGTACAAAGACTGATGATGTCCATCCACTTGAGGACCATATTTCTGCGGGCTCCGAATAAGACTCGCACGCTATATGTGTACATTCTGCCTCTCCTGTCCGTATGAGTCATCCAAGAATTGAATGGACTCGCGTTCTGCCCGCCAGCCGCGGCTCTGGTGTACTGAAGACCCCGGCTTCCTATACTCTCATGTGTAATCGCTCCCGCCAAGCTGTCGGGTTTGCGATGAGCTCTCGTTTGATGATCTAAGTTAGAGTGCATATTGGAGATCAAACACTGCAATTCTTGAAGCATATCGAGCACCGTAATCGTCCCATTTGGGCATCTAAGCCAGCCCACGCCCATGCATGAGGTGGACATTCACCAATATCTCATTGACTTTTTCATCGAAGATACAATACAGAAAAGGGGAGGACGTATGACGCGGACCCCGCGCGTCATTGCAACAGCTGCGAATCCTATGTCGTCCAAGATTGGTGAGAGAGTAGTGGCGAAAAGTAAATATGCCGACGTGCGTGAAGATACTGCTGCCAAATCATATCATCAAGTGTGCACTATCTTCAGGTGCAGCCACCTTTAGGATGTCGCATAGAACATCAACCGCCAAGGCAAAGCAGCCTTCATCGTCTGTTCATACGGCGGCCACTCTGACCCGACGCCTCTCTCCCTGTATCGCTTGTTCCGACGCAATAGTCAGGATTGAAGTCTCTCGAACACCGGCGCCTCGGCTATCTCGCCAGCGAGAATTGACATCCTTGAAGAAATCCGAAAGCGGGCGGGGTGGCTTTCTGAATGCACTGGTCTTGCAAGCATTACCAGTGGCCGGTGGTGCAACGATGTATGGGGCCTATACATACGACTGTCAGTGATTCTTCAGGACCGGAAGGTGGTGCGGCTCTGCGCACCTCGGCGGCAGAAGGATCAAAAAAGACAGGTGGTTCCAATATAGTAGCCCCGAGACACTCGAGTCTGTCGGCGCGTACTAGGGCGGCGACGGTGCCCAACTCGGGGTTGAAGCACTGCATGGCCGAGCTCGTCTTAAACGCCTTCAGGAGCACCGATGTGACGGGGTCATCTGATGACGGGTTGTCCTCCAAAGACCCGTGCATGGTCTTAAGAACGCTCAAGGCGTGCACGGTGACGTTATTGACCCTCGGCACGTTCTCTGCCTCTTCCCTCCACAGCGCTGTCAGGCGCTCATGAGAGACCGCGGCTAGTGCTGTCAACGGACCGTCCGGCGCTTTCAAACCATGTCGGAAAGTGTTCCACCCGAGCACGCGCAGCTCTAACAGCACTTGGTCGAGGTCGGATTGTAAGACACACTCGGCGCGTCCGTAACAGTCTGCATATCGGTTGATGGGCAGGACAAGGAGGGTTCCCTTCCCTACAAGGGAATTTCCAACGTCGGTGACTGGCCAGTACACAGGCGGTGGGTTTCCTGCCTTGTCGGGTATGCTTTGTAGAAATTTCTGGATGATCTCTCTTTCGCAAGACAGGACAGGATGAAGGTACAGGGACGGTTTATCCCACCCTTGGGGAGCAAGGCTAAGACCGCAAACGCAAGGAGCCAGCAAGCACTCTCCACACCCCTTGGAGGTTTTGACAGGCGGAAGGTCATGAGGCAACGGTGATGGACCACAGGCCGGGTTGTCAGAGGGTTCTCTCATGGTGGTAGAAGAGCCAGGCGTGCTTGGGGACACAGGACGGGAGGGAGGGAGTGGGATAGATGCGGGGTCCAACACGACGGGATGCAATATGGGGTCCATGACAGCAGGAGGCAACACGTTGTCATTGGCAATTTGTCAACCACATGGGAGGCAACATATCTGTCAGGTGTCTCCCTACAAGTGTGATCTC